ATGTCTGTTTAGGACTCATCTGTGTGACCCAAGTCTGTCCAGTGTTTGTGTTTGCCTTACATTTTTTAGGTGTTCTGGGAAGGATTTGTAGGCTCTTGGTCTTAGGTTCCCCTTTTCTCATGCTTCCCTGTCCATATTTTCTCCTTCCTTCCTTTCATCATCATTGGTTTGCTCCAGCATTCATTATGCTCTTCCGTCTAAAGACACAGGTTGTTCACCAAATGACCTATTTGCCCATGTGTTTTCAGAAGAATAGAAGCCTTACACAGTTCCGAATAGCTCCTCCTTAGGGTGATTTGGTTCCTTATGTGTGAAACAGCATAGGATAGCATGGCTCATATAAGAATAAGCAAACTTAGTTCCTAGTCTAAGCCTGGAACTGTTGAAAGTTCCTAATTCCATAGCACTCAGTGGGGTTTATTATTTCTCTGATTACTGAATGATAAATTCTGTTGACAGTTAAGCTATGTACATCCCAATCCTTCGGTGGTTTGCTTTTCTGCCTTGAATGTGCCAATTTCAAAGGAATTTCATGGTTAAAGAAATTTCTTTACTAGAACTTACCACTGAGACTGAAACTATATTCAATATATTTGTCAATAACACTAGTATTAAAGAAGAAATCATTCTTTTCTCCAATAACCTTTACTTTCTTTGAGTTTTTATTCACCATTGCCACAGAAGTTGGTATGCATATTACAGGATCTGTAGCCCTCTCAACATGTAAGGAAGGCCTGCAGTCAGACAGTCTTACTGAAAGTCTTACAGAGCATTTGTTTCTGATTATAAATCCCTCCTCTTGTTTTCCCTCCCTACAATCCTCCTTCCTTCCCCCCTTCCTCTTCTTCTCTGACTCTTTTGTTTTGAGACAGGGTGCCTCTATATAGTCTAGGCTATCCTTGAGCTCTCTGTTTTAATTCAGAAAACTAAAAGAAAGAAAAGAAAGAAAGATCCGCCTGCCTTGACCTTCCAATGGTAGGATTAAAGGTGGGCACCACTACAACCGCAGCCCATATTCTTGATATCACATATGTAAAATATCAGAAAAAATAAAATATTGAGTGGTGGATGGTTTTATTAATGAGCTTTCTCAATCACATTTTGTTTCACCTCATATAAATTCCCCCATGTCTTTGATCCCCGAAGGCCTCTCATTTGCTTATCTTAATTTGTATTAAAGCATTTTAAAATTAGTTTAATATTCTTAACATTTAGAAGTTTTTCATATGTCTATGTTTAGCCTGAAGACAGCCACATTTTCATTTTCATTGGAAAAATCTGAAGAATTATCTTGGAAAAAGTCCCAGTTTCTCAATGTATAAAGTAACACATCTTATATCCATATGATAGGAAGGACTGAGAGATCAGTAATCAATGAGTGATAACAGACTACTGGACTTGTTCTGCTCTCTCTCTCTCAGCTAGTGTTCATGAAGAAGCCATCGGAGCACTTTGTGCACGGCACAGGTCACTTTACCATAGAACTCCACGCAATCCACTCCATTAGAGCAAATGCATTCAAGCAACAACATGAGTACATGTATTAATTTTTGCATGTACTTTCTTTGCCATAAATATACTTGTTAATTTAATATGTAAATACATACATTATGATTTGGTTTATTTTCCTATACATATTTCTGAATATCTTTGGATTCTATAAACTGTTTTATGTGGAGTGTAAGATATTTACAACCAAATAACACATAAATTCAGAAATTTCTTTCTGAGCTGGTTTGCTCATGCTGTATTACATGTATTTTCATATCACCTAGTCATTCGGGGTAACTGGTACACATTTCACAGTGAAATGTCTTGCTACTGGTATTGTAATTCCTCCAGATAAGAGTATTAAAAAGCATACACAGCATCATCGAAACTTGGAACAAATGTTGATTACTAGGAACAGAACCTGTAATGAGGAAAAAAATAATAAAAAGTTAAGAATAAATTTGTAAGAATTTGGTGATTCCAATCAACATATTTTTCAAAAACAGTTATTTAAGGGCACTGGGTATAAACATGTCTATTTAAGGCCATATTATTCTACAGCATAATTTCCAAATGTCTATATTCATATGTTTGTGCCCATAAATATTTCATATGTCTTGAATATCTTCTGACAAAAAAAATTGAAATTGCACAGCACAGATTTCAAAATAGACTTTTCCTCTAGCATCATCGTTTAGTGGTCTCATCTTAAATTTGGTATACTTCATATTTGCATGTGCTGCATGAATGACTTCAGAGAAGAATCAGAAAAGTCATTTGTCTATTCAAACCTCCAGAAGCTTCTGAGGTTAACTGTTGAGGACATGCGCAGAGTAGGATGGCACAGCCACATCTTTTGAAGATTTGTTTGCCTATTTGCCTTTTGCTTAGGAGACCTTTAAGCATCATTCCTTCCATTTAAAAATGTATTTTACTTGTACTTTTTTTCTACTTGTATTCTATATGATTCTTACCTTTTAAATGCTTATGTCCTTCTTTTTCTGTTTTATGTCCTCAAAATGTCAGTAAAATTATATGTGCTATAACTGTTATTGGGGGTGAATAGTACAGCTCAGTTAGTTCCAAAATCTTCTTTGGATATATTAAGTTTGAGAAAAGTAGGTTTCTGTTAAGTGATATCAACAACAGCTCCTGAGAACTAACTTTTTTTCATGTAGTGTTTGAAATACCTTATTCTAGCTGTAAGACCAGATTTAAGTCTGGTCCAACCACAACTCTCCTGTGCAATCGCAATAAAATCTTCCACAAATGACTTAAACTCTGACTTTGTTTTCATAAATATTTAAAACGAGGATGATAATGCCTTTGTCACAGAGCTCTATAAGAATTAAATGACAGGCTCAGCTTTTTAATAGCTGTTCCTTTGACCTGACTTTGTTTACTCCTGTTTTTTAATGTGGTGGTGAAACCTAAAAGGAGCAGAATGCCATCTTGGAAGTAAGGAGAAGTGGAATATTTTAAACACTGGGCTGCAATTATGTAAGTAATGGAAGAAGTGCAAGGAGGATGTTGATGACTTGCTTTCCCTCAGCAGAGCTGCATTAAACATAAAGGGGAGTCATTTTATTGAATAATAAAAGTCTGACAATCACTGTGATTGGCTGGCGGCCATTACTGCAGTGCAATTCTAAACAGCCTGTTTTTCAAAGTTCTTTTTGAATAACTCTCTAAATGCAGACATTGCCTGGACTGATAGGAAGCTCCAAAACTCGTTCTTAAAGCCAAGTTGCTCACAGTCCAATATCTCTGTAAATTTTGGGAAAAGATGTTCATTAGAATTTACTTCTCTTTAGTGTATTTAGATCTGGGTATGCTTATGGGCTAGAAAATTTGGAAAATGTAAGAAACTCAGGTATAAATAGCATAATTCATGAGACATGGGAGGAAGCAGCCATATTTGAAGGCATTTATTAAAAACAAAACAAAAATAAAGATCAACAAGATCTCGGCACAACTCATATTTGCTCTGAGTTATCCAGAACTTAAGGTTCCTAAAGTTCTGGACTCCTCTTTGATGCACCCATCTGTCTTAAGTCAGCATTTCACGTCCTATCTGGGAAGTGTGTAGAATAAGTGAGTTCAATTGGCAATTTACCAAGACAAATACTTAATGATTTTCAGGGCTATTTTAAATATCTTTTATTTAAATTGTGGCTTAATACTTTATTTGATCAATAAATTTTGCCAAGAATGTTGGAGAAGCGGTTGCTGCTGGAGCTTTTGGTAATGAATTCGTACTTTAATGTTGAAACTATCCAGCTTAGACTCCTCCCAAAGCAGATATTTTACCTTCACTATCAACAATAGAAAGAGTGGCATAAAGATCAGAGTAGCAACACGAGAGACAAGAAAGTGTATTTATTTTCATTTTATAATACAGACTTGGCTATTAATTTTGTGCAAACCAGATTCAAAGCAATACGGAGAAGTGGTTTTGATAGAATAGTGCATGAAAGATGAAGAAAAATTAATCCACTGCAGAGCCCAGAAAGCTGATTCTGCAACAGGCAGCAGTAGAAGAATCCTAAAGCAGTCAGCGATTGGCTGATGGCATCTTTGTTCCAGCGACAGGCATCTCTCAGCAGATGCTTGGTGAACTCCCTGTTTTGCTTCCACCTTCCAAAGCACTGCTCAGCCGCCTGGCTTGTGGCTGATCTTTGGCAGCCTTCTAGTGAGTGGCGCACATCTCCCCCTCTCGACCACCGCCAGGTGCCTGCTGCCCCGCAAGCACTCACACAATGGACTCACTTGTCTCCCTCGCTCCTCTCCTTGGACTTGCAGCCTGAGAAAGCAACTTGCAGGGGTCAAAAGGACCCTGCCTGGAGCTTGGACCACAGAGCCTTCCAGACAGGTCGATGCTGATGTTCAAGCAGACAAAACAAACAATGCCTGGCCAAGGAAAGAATAAATTATCCACGCTCACAACCCCGCCCAGCATCATGCAACAAGCAAATGAAAACCTGGGATGAGATTTTTCCAAATAAAAGATTTTTTTTTTCTTTCAAATGAGGAACACCTCAAGACAGCCAAAGGGATTGATGTTGGCTTTGCAGTGGCAACGCCCCCCCCCCGCCCCAACCCAACGCACTGCACGCATCCAGGGTCTCTGAGAACCACAAGGTGGGAAACCGACCTAGGGGGAGGAAGTGACATAGGCAAAGCAGTCTAGAAGAAATAGGAGCCCTGAGATCAAATGAATAAAACGATCGAGTTAAACCGGCTTGAAGAGTGAAACTTGGGGAGAAGGACAAGAGCTCTCTGCAGGAAACTACCTGGAGATGAAAGCCGAATAATAAGGAAGTGGCAAGCGGCAACTTTGCAGTGGGCAGCAAGTTGTGTGCCCTCTGATGCCTTCGCTGAGCATCCCTGATCTCCTCTTCTTTGGCCGAGCGCCCGCAGCATCAGCACCAGCGGCAATACCAGCAGCAGCGGCGGCGGCAGCTGCGCGCCTCCGGCCCGCCCCGCGCGGTCCCCGCTAGCCCGCGCCCTGCCCGTCTGCGTGTGCGTGTGCGTGCGCTCAGCCCAGCGTGAGCGGCACCTGCTAGTCCCGGCTCGCCGAGGAGGCCGCCTCGCCCGGCTCCCACCGCCGCGCCCGCCGGAGCCGCTCAGAGGGCTTCGAGGGCTCCGAGGTCGCCCAGGAGCCGCGGTCCCTCCTCCGCCTGCAAGTCCGCCTGGCTCCGAGTCACGTGTCAGTGCCCGAGGCAGAGACTGAGAAAAAAACGCGCTTCATTCCTTCTTCCACCGCCATACTGTATTTTCCTAAATCTCATTTTTATTCCAACATTTTACTCCCGCTCGGTGAGTACCTTCTCAGTGGCATTCTTGTCCTATTCTTTTTTTCCCCCTTTTTTTTGTTTTTGTTTTTTTTTTCTTCTTTTTTTTTCTTCCCACTTCTTTGATTATTGTTTGTATTTGGGAAAGCTGACGAGCATGGTCTTAAGCCTTTTCCTGAATCAAGTTTTCCTAGCATGCGATGGTTCTCTAGACAAGGCGCTGTGTCTGGGAGTCCGCGGCAGCCGTGTTTCCTGCGAGCGGCTCCCAAGTCCAGCAAAATGTGCAACTGGTTTTATGGAAAAAGCGTTGTGAAGTATGGTGCCTATTTTTTTCCCTTTGTAAAGATAAGAAAGCATGTTTCTAACTCTTTTTTACGTACTCTTTTTCCGATTACATTTTTGTGTAGGTGGGATTTTCCAGCAGTGTTCACAAGTTTGTCGTCTTGCAATTCGATTCACACCACTGAGCAAAGACATTAATTTTGCATTTTTATGACCTTTTTGGAAGCCTGTGAGAAATATTTCGTTTTTTTCCCTCCTGTTTTTGATATCGGTTGATAACATGAAACTTTTCTTGCAGCTAGTTAAAGGGATTATTTTTAAGCAATTGTTTTTTTTCCTCCTTTACATTAACTATTCCTTTTGCACATTTGACTTTTTTATTTAAAAACTCGAGATAATTTTATGATAGATATCCTGATATCTATATCTATATTATCCATTCTTCCTCCTTCTCCCCTCCTAAATCAATTTTCAAATGATGGCAGTGGAAGGTTTTTCTGAAAAAAAAAAAAATGAAGTGCGGTTTGGTTTCCTTGTCAACGGAGGATGAAGTGAACATCACAACAGCTCGCAGAGAGCAGGTACTTGGCCCCCTCGGTGGCGTTCCCCGGGTGTGTGATGACAACGCTGGCCAAGAAGTCTGTGTGCGCGCGTGTGTGCGTGTGCGAGGGTGTGTGCGCGTGTGCGCGCTGGTTCCGGGCTGTGTCCGAGCCCGCAATGGGGAAAGCCGCGCAGGGAGCCAGAACCAAAGTGCTCTTCAGGCCGCGAAGGTTTTGGAGACGCGCGCGTCCCCCTTCCCCTGTGGTGCCTAGGCTGGGGTTGCTGCTGGGAAACTGGAGCACTGCAGGCGGTCGGGCAAGTTAGCCTGGGCCACCCGCAGCGCCGGAAGCGGAGGGCCCCGCGGGGCGCTGACTGTGCGACGATCCGGCCCTCCAGGCGTTGGAGATGAAGCGGTGAAGGGGCGGGGACCGCGGCCGCCCAGGGGCTGGCCACTGGTCAGGCGGCGGGAGCTCGAGGCGTCTAGGATGGCAGCGGTCCCTGAGTGCCGCTCTCCTGCCTCCGCGCCCCGCGGGAGCAGTGCAGTGGGTTCTTCCCAACCGCCTCCGCTAGCTCTGGAGGCTTCACATCTTCCGTGTGTCGCCCTCATGCTTTCCCTGAGACGTCGCGTTGGTTTTAAGCCCTAGCCAGAGTCTTTCGAGGAGAGGGAATGGTCACTTGTACCAATGCATACTTGGGTTTAATGAGACGACGCCTACAAGGTACAATATTATCCTTTCTTTAAAAATAGACACTGTTTCCTTCTTAACCACCAGATACTGGTTGTGTAGGTGCCACCTCCCCCAGGCCGAGGACTGGATCCTGCAAAGGGCCACTGAAGGTGGCCACTGATGGTAGTGCTGAAGTACTGAGTGTTGAATGTTGTCTACAGTGTTTGAGTACCCTGTTGCATGTCTCCATAAACCCAGCAGTACTTTTCAGAGATACACTGGCTGACAATGATGATAATAAAAGAAATCTTTTCTCTACTTTTCACTGTTACAGAATCTATGGGAGAATTTAGTTCCCAAATAAGTATAGGAAACGTAAAGAATGAATCTTAAAATCTGGAGAGGAACTAGAAGTATTTGAGTAGGTTGATTCTGAGCCTTTCATTTGCTTTCCCAACCTTAAATGAGTTCAGTGTTAAATTACTCAAGTACACTGTTTGGGTTATGTGAAAATAAACTGAAATTATATGGTTTTGCCTTATTAAGTTTTCTTCTAGATTATCTAAAAAATATATAAAAAGCTAAACCAGGAAAAAAGGACCTATAGCAAAAGGATGAATAACTTATTCTATAGGGTTTCCAACTGAATATTTTATTGAATTTCTATGTGTGCAGCTTGTGAGCAAAGTTTGGTGTTTGTGTTTTATACTTTGCAGTGAAATAACAAAGAAAGACTCCAAGGGAAGTTTAAAATGCAATGCAATATATCGAAGAAGTTATGCATTTTACCTGTACCACTCTTGTATAACTCTAAGATCCTTGTAAGCTGCATACAGATGAGATTGTTCATTCATTTATTATTTTGTGGTCAGGCCACTTCTCATTAAAAAGTCTCATTGCTTTTTTGAGTGAGAAGAAGATCTTTTTACTCTCTGTAAATACCAGTCTATTGCTTTAAGTGCATAGTTCTAAAATTGAAGCTTGTATTATAACTCTACACAAAAATATGAAATTTCTTATTTTGTACTGTGAGATCATAGCTCAAATATAGACTTTCATATGAATCAGAGAGCAAACAAAATACTTATCAAAGTTATTTGCAATGTATGATAATATTTTTAAGGTCAGTCATTTTATTTTACATAGATAGAAATGCTCATTTAAAATGATTTGTGCAGATAATTCTTTTCATAGGTCATATGCTGATAAAACTTGTAGTTCTTTGAAAATCAAAACAAAACAAAAAGAGACAGAGCAAGGAAGAAAGAAATAACTTGTGCGAGTAATCCTGACTGTCCATTAGCAGAGTAATTTGGTCCCAACCTCAGCATATTCTCTCCTGAGGCTGGCCAACTATTTTGCAGTTCTGTGTTGTTTCCACATAAGGCTGAAATCTGAGATGTCATCTGAAGAGAAGGAAGTTTTCAGTGAGATCCTCTACGTAGAGACCATGTCTTGTGTGTTCTTATGCTCCATTTATTTACTATTGACTTTTCATTATATCGAATGTTTATTTTACTTTTCTATCTGTGACTTCCAAATCATTCAGATCCTTACGTCCCCTAATTGAGCCAGGAGCAGTGCAGCACCCAACACTGATTGCCTCTTGTGCATTTTGGGGTTTAAAGCTGTGGAAGGTAATATACTAGAGTTGGCACCGCCTACTGGTTTCTTATGGGAAAATACATGCTTTATTCTTTGACCCAGCTTCCCAACAGACTTATCATCTTAGTCATCCATTTTTTTTCTTGTTGGTTATTTTGTACTACTTTTTTTAAGAGAATGAATTTAATTTGCCAGTTAAAAGGACAGGGAATAACTGGCTACTGAACTACAAACTAACCTCTACTATTTTAAAAAGTTGTGATGAAATTTTCACAAACCTAAAACTACTTGTTAAATTTCCTAGAATGCTTCTCTGCAATATAATCTCTTATTATTCCCCAAAATACTGAATTAATGAATTTATTTATAGTTTCCTTTAACTGTAAACATTGCAGAGAAAGAAAATCTTATTTTGTATTTTGTTTTTTTTGTGTGTGGTTTGTTCAAATGTATTTAAAATAAGTTTTCACCATTAACATAATTTTCAATAAAATTTCTCTTTATGTTTAAAGGGTCAGGTTGGTCATTTGTTTTTTTATTCCCCTGAGATGATCTCAATTTACCTATATTATATTAGTGTTACACATAAGGTGAAAAAGTTTGAAGCTCTCTAGATATATTCAGTAATATATTTAGCTACAGAAGTGTTACTTTGCTGTAAAGTGATGTCGTAATTTTATGAAAGATTAGTTATAGAATAGGTAAATATAATTTCTCATATTTTAATAGAAAATACCAACATAAAATAAATACAAGAATAACTTTACTTGTTATAAATTTGTATTTTCTCAACCCAATGAAACTTACTTCTTTTTTAAAAAGTACTTTGTGTTGCATTTTGCACACCCTTTGCCTGCATGTATGTCTGTTCATTGTGTGAATGTCTGGTGCCCATGGAGGCCAATAGCAGGTGTCAGGTACCCTAGAACTGGAGTTAAAAACTTTTGTAAATGACCATGTAGGTGCTGAGAATTGAACCTTGGTCCTGTGGAAGATCAGTTAATGCTCTTAACCTCTGGGTCATTTCTCTGCCCTCTGAATATGAATTTCTTAAGTAAAACAGGTATGTTTGAGTAAGAGAGTAAAAGGTACATGATGTCCGTGTATCTGAGAGGTTTCTACCGAGTGGAGTGCGGTCATGTTTTGGTAACTGATACTGGAAGACATTAGATCGTACATCAAATCAAATGAGACTTGCAGTCTTCTAAAGCTGTGTTATGGAGGTAGAATTCAAGTGAAATGGATATTTAGCATTTATTTACACAATAATAAGGAATTCTAGAATTTGTTGTAGAACAAGAATTAACTGTATCTCAAACAGAGTATGATAACAGCAAGGTTGGTTTTGACTCTTATTGGATGGCAATAAAGAAACTTGAACTATCCTATGACATACTGGAGGAGCGCTGATTAATTTTCTTCCTATTGATTATGGGGCTCCAGAAAGTAAGAAAAAGTTGAGTTTACAAAATGCCTTCACTGATTGCCCTTAACTGTTGTTAAAGTCTTATTGGTTTTTTTTATCAGTTTTTTCCAGTTAACTATATAAAATGTTTTTAGATTTTCATAGTTTATCATAATTCTTTGATTTAGTATATTTTTAGTACTTGACATCAATAATATAATCTTTCCCAATAGGACCAGTGAAACAGCTGGTTTCATTGTATCATTATCACAAAGAAAACAATCACTGAACAGAGCCTAAGAGCACCTGATGCAAGTATCACTTCTGTACCTAGTTACAGACTCAGCACCTGGGTCTGAACACCTCAGCCACAGACTTCCACTTATTACAAAATTTTATTTGCATAAGACATAGGTTTAATTCAGTTATTGTCAACTTTTGTTAGATACACAATATTGGTGAATTTTTTGTCTTTATTTTGTTAGACTTATACTAAGCACTAAATTTGTATTTAAGAGAATTGATTTTGTGCTTTCTAGCTATTTCAGAAACTTAAAAATCTTTATCTGCACTGGATTGTCTTCATGCTTTTCTGATAATTATTCAGGTTAATTTCCTTTTTGTTCTCTGTTGCTAGAACAGAGAAAAATGTGGCAGAACTTTGTCCAGGGTAAATGTCCTCTGGCATGTCCTTGGAGACTCCACACCTGGAGTCAAAACTACAAGATTTATTTCTCTTACCATGTTTAAATCTACATGAGAGGGAAATTATGAAGGACATGGAAACACTGTCCCAATTTCTGATTTCCTGAAATGGGCAATGGGGAACCTCTCTAAGCACAGTTATAACAGTGAGAAAATAAAGAGTTCATATGCAGGGTCTATATATTTTAAATATAATTAAACTCACCAGTTAATATTATTTTTGTTTGGAGTAAGTAGTTGAATTTTTTCCTCAGTTTCACACTGGAAATTGATTGTACTTATATATACTGTATGAGTGGAGCTAAGATGTTTATGTAAATTTTGCTAACTATATGATATATATATATATATACATATATATATATATGTATATATATATTCTGGAAGTTTTGTTAGTCAGGGATAGAGAAAGGCTATTGGTTTCTATGTGATGTCAAAGACAAAGAAATGGAAGAGAACTAACATTCATTTTTTAAAATTTTATTAGCTTATATTAATAATACATATGTTAATAATACACATTATGACATTTTCATACATGTACACAATCTATTTTAATTGTATTTGGCCCAGTATGTCCCCTCCTTTTATTAATTACCTTCCTCTTCTCTCTCTCTGTCTCTGTCTGTCTGTCTGTCTCTCTCTCTCTGTCTCCCTC